CATACGTTTTCTAGTTTTTTGTTCCTGGTTTGTTGGATTGCAATTGACTTGTACGTTGATCTTATGTCTGGATATAAATATAATTCTATATATTATAGAATATATACGGCAAAAGCCGTTTTATTTCTTCCTTTCCAATTATTATGCCTTCAATTTCTTCTTTAAGGTGATGGCTTCTTTAAGGTGATGGAACAACTCCAGCACATTGTTCAATATAATTAGAGATAATAGAAAATTTTAAAGAGAATACTTCTGATGTTTCTCCAAAAGAATTACATTAAATGTTTTTTTTATAGCTGTTTCAATGAAGTTTTAACAAAGCTTCCTTCCACTTCTATCATGAAGAGTGCTATCACCAGTGAATGGTGGGTTTACTGAGTTTGTATTTTAAAAGAATGGTGAATTTATCAATTATTTTTCCCTGCATGATGGAGAGGATCATTTTTCCTCCTTTATGCTGTTAATGTGCTGTATTACATTAACAGATTTTCTAATATTACACCATCTTTGCATTTGTAGGATGACGTGTCATCTTTTTTAAGAACACAATTGGATGCAGCTGGCCAGCACTTTATTTAGGTTGTTTAAGTGTTATCTGTGTCCGTGAAGGGGGCATTCATTTCCCTTCTCATATTGTCCATGTTTGGATCAATGTGTTTTTTGAATCAATGTGATTCTTGCCTAATAGAATGAACTCTTCTGCTCTTGGTAGACGTCTTCTGCAAAGCCTTTTGGGTCTAGTGTTTTCTTTAGGAGACTTTAATTAGCCTTCGATTTAATATGTATAGGAACCTTCAGGCTTTTTTTTTTTTTTTTTTTTTTTTTGGCTCCTGAGCCCATACAGGAAGACAGTAAAGGGGAAGCAGAAGAAACAAGAGACCAGGCAGGTAACATAGTAAAACAGCAGACTCAAAGCCAAGCATCAACAGTTACATTACATGTAAAAGGCCTTAAGTACCAATTAAAAGATAAAGACGGGAAAATAGATAAAAATAGTTTCTTGTGTTGAGCTGGCTGAGAGATAGGGGCACCCAAAATGGCGGACATCTCAAATTGGGTCAAAATGGCTGGTCAAAGCAGCCATGACCACCACATCATCTTCAGCAAATCGAAGCCTAGACGGGAAACCGAAACTTTCCATCCAGGACTTTCCAGCCAGGGACCACCCCCATCGTCTGTACTATCCCCACCCCCAGCCATCACCTAGGGACTCGGTGTTCCCTTGCCTAATTTGGCAAGGGACCCACCCAGACCCGAACCCTGAACCAATAAGGCTTAAAAACCCTCACACTCGCCAACCCTGGTGTGACTTCTCTGACTCAGTCTTGGAACCTCGCCCAGGAGCGCTCCCCATTAGAAACACTCTAGAACATACTGCCTGGCTCTGCTGGTTTTTGTTTTTTTTTTTTTTTATTTCTCTGCCGTTCATTTTGGAAAAAACCTAACATCTTGTAGATGGTATCTACGAGAAATTCATGTCAAATATAAAGATTGAGGTGAGTTAAAAGCAGAAGGATGGAAAAAGCTGTAGGATATAAACCCTGATGAAAAGAAAGCTGAAGTGGCTATGTTTGCATCAGACATTGCAGACTTCAGAGCAAAGACGAGAATTAACCAAGATGAGGAGAGACATTACATAACAAAATGGTCCACTTGCCAAGAAGACAGCCTTCCTAAGTGCACCAAATTAACAGAGCTGCAAAATCCGTGAAGCAAAAAATTGGCAGAACCACGAGGAGACTATCAGTCTGAGGACTGAGCCCTATGGAGTTCCCACATGGACAAGAACCAACATGCACCAGGAGGGGCCAGTACAGGTGGAGGGACGCAGTCTCACACATCCTTTCAGCAAAACTCTGATGGCCTCAACAAGATCCCTGAAATGATCCTTCTTGTTAATGGGGTCCCAGGAAGAGAGTGAAAAAAAAAAAAAAAAGCAAGCTGTAGAATATTTTATAAAATAAGGATGTACACATGAACCCCTAGCTCTGGAAGGGACACGTCTGTACTAAGCACACAGAAAAGTCCATGTGGGTAATGCACCATGGCCATTACATCTGTATGAGATTGTTGAGAAAGGAGTGAGCAGGCATTTTATTTCTTTTGATAAGTATGTGCTTATTTCTGCAATTTTCAGACATGAGTTGAATAAAACACTAAGAAGAGTGATAGGAGTTTGGTGGGAATTAAACTTTTCAATCAAGAATTACATACAGAAGTATGTGAACACTGACCAGCTTGGGTGCGGTCATTGAAAATGGCCTATACCACCTGAATCTTCCTCATGCACGATTAGTGCAACATCAAGAGGATGGTGGGGAGTTCAAACTTGAGCTTTATGGTGTGTGTGTTCATTGTGAATTAGTTCCTAAGCTTGTACCCATATCAGAACAGAAAGACACTTGTATTTTTTTTTAAGATTTTATTTTATTCACGCGAGACAGAGGGAGGCAGAGACACACAGGCAGAGGGAGAAGGAGGCTTCTCGTGGGGAGCCTGATGTGGGACTCAATCCCAGGACCCCGGGATCATGACCGGAGCCAAACGCAGACGCTCAACGGCTGAGCCACCCAGGTGTGTCCGAGTCTTGTATTTTAAATCACACACTTTGTTGTACTTCTTACACATGGAATGGCTGTCTAAAGTCTCTTCCACGGACACAGTGAATAGATGCTTTTCATACAATACGCACATTCAGAATTTCAACTTGTTTGGAGCAGGAACTGTTGGTCAAGGAGGGCTTTGCAGCTAAACTGCTTTTATCCACCTTGCCTTTTTCGTGCGGTAACGTGGAGGCTCAGAAGGGACAATGAAGAAATGCTTATGCCACGTTGTAGTGCCTCCCAGGCAGGCACTGTCATCACTGGAGCAGCAGAATCAGTGCTGTCCCCAGGGAGGAAGCCTCTCCAAGCACGCTGCTGGGCTCCGTGACTGGATGTGGACCACACGGGGCTACTTTTACCATTAGCCTGTCAGTGGGCTGCTGCCAGGACAGGGCGCCTGCCCTCACCCGATCAAGTGCCAGGTCTTTCTCACAGAGCCCCTCTGCCACATCTCACCTGACCGGCCCCACGCTCAACAAAATGACCACATTTAATAGGAAGAAGTCTGGAATCCCTTCCTAGTCTGGCCCAATTTACCACTGGTTTCCAGCTGCTGGGTTGTGTTTTGTTTGCTTTTTACACATCACAGCAGACTTAGTGCCTTAAAACAACACAAATTCATTATCTGACAGCTCTAGAGGTCAGAAGTACCTGTCACATCTGCCAAGTCCATTTTGCCAGGTTAAGGCAACACATCTCCAGGTTCCAGGATCAGGACATGGACATCTGTGGGGGCTGTTCTGAGGTCTGTGACGTCCCTCCTCCCAGATCCACCTCCCACACCTTCCCTTCCCTTCCCAGGATGTGTGCACTCTGCCCCCAGCATACGCCACATTGTCAAGATGGGCGACAGCACACAGTAGCAGTTAAGTGGCCTAACCGCGGACTCGGACTGTCGGGGCTCAAGTGGGCAGTCTGCCACTCGCTAGATGGATTCGGACAAATGGCTGTTGCTGTGGTTTTGACCTAGATCACGCGGAAAAGTAGATCAGACCGCAAGCAACCAGTATTCCACAGATGCCAACGGCCTGGTGTCTTGGATGAATCCCTATGGTCAAGGGTGGTGTGGGTGTGGGTGGGTGTGGGTGGGGAGGGCGTTGCCTCAGACTGGACACGTGGGCGCACGTTTGGATGCGGGTTTACCAGCCGTCAAAAGGCACCTGCGAGACCGGGAGCCCCGAACCCGGGCGCGTGCGGAGGGCCACGAGGGGTGGTGCTGTGGCGTGGCCTGCGGCATGGTGCCGAGTACTCGGAGTCTTCCTGGAGACGTGCTCCGCAGACACACACATAGGCGGAAGCACCCTTCAAAGCAGAACGGCCCCATATTCGGGATCGCTTCAAACGTGGGGGTGGAGGAGAGGAAACGAGGCGGCCACACAACGGCTGCGGAAGCTCAGCGACCCGGACCCGGACCCGGACCCGGACCCGGACTGGGGAGGAGACGCCACTCTACTCTCTCACCTGAAATTTTCACTACATCTCTGTAAAAACGAATCTGGGAAGCTCTCCCTTCCCGCGCTCTGCCACACAGTCAGCGGTGCCCCGCCCCACCTCCCGTGACAATCGTCCACATCTTCGCCCTCGCGGCGCACGATGCCCTGGACCCGGCAGGTGCGGGGGCGGCAGGCACGGAGCCCGGGGGGGGGCGGGGCGGGGCGCCGGCCCCGCCTACCGGCAGCAGGTCCGTGCCCGGCCCCGATGCGCCTGTGCCGGCGGGACCCCTCCCCCCCGCCGCGCCCCGCCCTGAAGGCCCCCGGTTCCTGCACGTGGCTCCCGCCCGCCGCCTGCGGGGCGCCTCCGACCCGCACCGACAGGCCGCCCGCTCAGGGGTCGGCGTCCTTCTCCCTCCGGCCGCCCCAGTCTGCTCCCGACCGCGCCGCCCAACGTCTTCCTGTCCACGCCCGCCCACCTGCCGCGGGCGCCGCGACCTCCCGGACCCCGAGGCCAGGCCCCGCGGCGGAAGGCCGCCGGCCCCACCCCTCCCCTCCCGCCCTCTCGACACCGAGACTGCGCCTGCGCGGAGACGGCCGCACGTCGCGCAGCCCCGCCCGCACCGCGCCAAACCCCGCGATACTTCACCTTTCCCTCAGGTCCGCCCTCCCCAACGGCCTGGTTGACCTGGAACGTTCTAAACCCCTGCGCACGCGCTCTGAGGCCCTTAACGTCCGGGCTCCGCCCTCCCCTGGCCATGCCCCTTCCCGTCTGGGAGCTTCCCGTCGCCACGCCTTGCCAATCATCCACTTCTTCCCCAGGGCGACCCCGCAACAGGTCTCTGATTGGCTGATCACGGGGGACAGCGCCGAGGAGGGTCGGTGACGATAGGCTGGGAGCCGGTTCCGCCTACTGGCAGTTTGCGTGGAAGGTGATTGGCTGGCGCCTCCGTCCAATCAGCGGTGGGCTGTCGGATTCAAACCGGGATCGTTGGGCCTGCGGTCGGTTGGTCGCAGTCGAGTCGTTGCTTCGGCCTGACGCGGACGTGTGGCCCGCCGCGCCCGCTCTTCGCGCCCCGTCGCTCCCGCCGCCCGCACGATGGCCCACAAGCAGATCTACTACTCGGACAAGTACTTCGACGAGCACTACGAGTACCGGTGAGCACTACGACTACCGGCCTCGGCCGCGAGGCTGGGCGGAACCGGAACCGGGGTCGGCGTCGGGGTCGGGGTCGCAGCGCGCCGGCGGGGGTTCGGGTCGGGGCCCGAGGTCGGAGGGCGGCGGGCGGCGGGCGGCGGGCGGCGGGGCACCAGGGCACCAGGGCCCCGGGGCGTGCGGACCGGCGTCCCCGCGTCCCCCGCCCTTTGTTCGCGGTGGCCGGGCGGGGCCGGGGCTGTGGGGCCCACTCCCTCCCTCCCCTCCCCGCTGCGCCCTGCCGGGCTGCCGCGGCGTCGGAGCACGGCCAGGCGGCTGTGGGTAGGCGCGGCTGGATCCGGCGCCGGTCCCTGGGTGGGGGAGACGGGCCGGGCGGGGTGGGACTGGGTGGGGCGGGGGAGGGGCCGCGGGCGGGGTGGGGCTGTGGGGGGCACGCTCGGGGCGGGGGCGGGGGCGGGGGCCGTGCCCTGGAGCCCCGGGCCAGACTGTGGGGAGGGTCCGGGCGGAGAGCGGCCCCTCGGGGAGTGTTCCCGGAAGCGGGGCGTGACCTGGGCCGCGTTTCTGGTCTCCGAGACCGGGTCCCCGCGCGGGGTCTCGGGACTTGAGCGTCGGCGCTGAGGCCCGCGGCCTTCGGGGAGCGTGTGTCCTGAGTAGCCCCGGGCGCGCCGTGACGTGGACACGGTCCCCGGCGTAGTTGGGGAGCGGCGGCCCCGCGGAGGGAACAGGGGGGGCTGAGGACGTGCTGCAGGCGGACAGCGACGTGGAAGGCAGAAGTGAGGCCGTTCACGGGGCATCTCAAGGAAACGTGCACAACACGTTACCACCAGCCAGGCTTTGCGTCAGAGGATGACGTCAGTAATTAGTGTTGGGGGGTCGGGTGTTACGTGTAGGTTTTCAACTGTTTGAGGGGTCAGGGCCCCCAACCCCGTGGTGGTCAAGAGTCAACTGTAGTTCACTGGAATTGGTAGAAATAGCGTAATTCGATTTGGAGGTCTCAGGGCAGATTTAAAAACATGGCGGTAGTTCCAAGGCTCACTGCTTCTGTGTGAATAATACGTACGGGTATTCAGTTCACTCGTCACCGACGAGAGTGTAAGCTGATGACCGTCTTAGTGTTTATGTGTAAGGAGTTCAGTTTCTGACAGAAAATGTGACTGGTCAGATTCCCCTTTTCTCCCCCCCTAGCCAGCTGACCACAGGTAGATATTTCGTACTGGTCAAAAAACTTGGTTACTGTCGAGAACTCCATAACTTCATATTGCCGCTGGGAATAGTAAAAATGGGTCTGGGAATTGTGATTGATAAAGGCCTTTTTACTGCAGTTAAGAGGGATGCAGACTTGTCTTTCAGAATTTACGAAGTTATAGTTGTGCACGTGCAATGTATACGTACATTGAAGAGAACATCTTTTCCTTAAAATAACAACTTAAAGTTTTGGATAGAAGTCAGTAACTTCTGAAAAAAGTCTTTGGGGATGCCTGGGTGGCTCATCGGTTTTGCCCCCGCCTTCCGCCCAGGGCGTGATCCTGGAGTCCCAGGATCCAGTGCCACAGCCCGCTCCCCGCAGGGAGCCTGCCTCTCCCTCTGCCTGTGTCTCTGCCTCTCTGTGTCTCATAAATAAATAGAAATTAAAGAAGTCTTTGAGGTGGTTAGGTACACCTATATTTGTGGGGCTTGAGTTTTTTACTTTGTATCTGAACAAAGCAACTTGTACAGTATACAGGACTCCTATCTACTATAAATCTATAATGTTGAGTAGTGGGACACCCAAATTAACAAATTAGATATTTTGGGGGCACCTGGGTGCCTCAGTTATGTGTCTGCCTTGGGTTCTGGGATCAAGCCCCGCATGGGACTCTGCTGCTCTCTTCCCTCTGTCCCCTCACCCTGCTTGTGTTTGTTCTCTTGCTGTCTCTCAAATAAGATTTTTTTTTTTTCCAAATAAGATCTTTAGAAATATTTTTTTCTTTTATATAAAAGGCAGCATGGGGTTTAGTTTTACAACCAGGAACCATCCTCAACTTACGCTTCTGTGGATTTAGATGGCTTCTCTAGCTCCCTGATGCCATTAGTCTGATTCATAACCAACAGGAAAGAACAAGGAAAAGAGTTAGGCATGTTCTCTTTTGAGGACAGTTTCTTTAAGTTGGTGTATTTTCCGCTTACTTCATATTGGCCAGGATTTAAGTCAGAAGGGGTAGCTGTGGCGGGAGGCTGGGGTGTTTTAGATAACCACTTAGTTTCTGGAGATTCTATCCCTGAAGAAGTCTCGTAGAGAAGAAAAGGTGAATCCTAACAAAATGCCTTCTGTATTTGGACTGTATATTCTTTTCTCCCTAATTTTGAGCATTTGGCTTTCAAAACTCAGAATTAAAGGTGATAGTCCTCAAGATTGATACCAAAAGTAATGTAAAAAGAGTTGCTTTAAGGGTCTTTATTCTGAACTCAGATACTAAGTATCCTGAAAATGCATGTATAAAGTGATAATTGTACGAAAGGTGGATACTAATAGTTGGCTCTATCTCTTAACAGGCATGTCATGTTACCCAGAGAACTTTCCAAACAAGTACCGAAAACCCATCTGATGTCTGAAGAGGAGTGGAGGAGACTTGGTGTCCAACAGAGTCTAGGCTGGGTTCATTACATGATTCATGAGCCAGGTAAGTGTGGCCATTTAGGAAAGCATCAACTGAAATAAAATAGTAGTGGTTTTGGCTGTTGGAGGTTAATAATACTGACATTTAGTGGTATTCCCAAAGTAACTCTGGTAAGTGTGAGTGTTCTTTAAATGGCTGATTCCTTTCTTCCTAGGAAAAATTCCAATTTTGTAGTGAATACCAGGAATGAAAGTAATACATTATCCTCTTGCAGAAAGATGAGTTAAAAAAAAGGGCAATTCTGTTTTAAAATGTGTCATTATAAATAGTATCTTATTTTGCCATACTTATTGTCCCCTTTTTGAAAACTAAGAACTTATTTTAAGACCCTTTAAGTGTCCCTTAAGTTCTATGCATAGAAATTAATGCAATTTGAAGTGATTTATCTTTTCCTTCATTCTATTTAAAGGATAATTGGGTTCTACCACATTAAGCTGGAATAACATAACATAGTAAACTGTGCTATGTGTGTTATGCATTAGGAGTGTATTATTTTGTGGATTTCACCAGAGTTTCCCAGATATGAAATGGTCAACTAAAACTTGGGTTAAAAATTTTTTTTTTTTGCATAATGAATAAATCTAATGATTTATAGTGCTTTGAGCAAATTTTGAGGGCATGCTATAGAAACTGAATCAGGTGGAATTAGAGTGATCTTGTTTTCTGCTCTTGTTAAAGTGGCAGTAGCCTCAGAAATGGACTTAAAATTTTTCTGGGACTGGGGGCATTTAATCCTATTAGGTCAAAAGCTTTGTCCAGCTAGTACCAGAGCACGTGAGGAACTTTGCTTGTAGAATCTGGGACTCCCACCTACTGAAATAATCTTTGGGGATGGGCCCTTGGGATCTGTACTTTTTACAGGGTGGTGGTTTTTGAATTTGATTAGGTCTCTTTTCCCTTTTTGCTGGAATTGAGATTCTAAAGGTAGAAACCATTCTCCCCAAACTCTCTTCTCTATTTAGGATCTCTTTTAGATAAAACTAAAACCTTGGGGAATGTTATCATCAGGTGGTTTTGTTTATAGTTGACAGTGACTTTTGAAGTAAAATTTGTTATTTTGATAACAGTTGATCTATTTTATTTGGATCAACTGAGGATTTTGAGTTTTTGGTTGAATGAATGAAAATTAAATGTATTAAAATTATATAAAATATTTTGTTTCCACAGAACCACATATTCTTCTCTTTAGACGACCTCTTCCAAAAGAGCAACAAAAATGAAGTCTTTCTGGGGATCGTCAATTAAATCTTTTTCAAATTTAATGTATATGTGTATATAAGGGTAGTATTCAGTGAATACTTAAAATGTACAAATTGTTGATCCATACCTGTGCATGAGCTGTATTCTTCACAGCAACAGAGCTCAGTTAAATGCAACTGCAAGTAGGTTACTATAAGATGTTCAAGATAAATTTCTCCTAGTCAGTTTTTCTCTTAATATAAGTGCCTGTTTGATTTTTGTCTGTTACTTTTGTTAAATAAAGTTTGTATGTTGCATTTATCATTGACTTTATTGGGGTTTATTTTCTTAATGTGAATTTGTGTGTAGTGAGGTGGTTAGAGGATTTCAGCTCTTACAAGTTTGATCCGGAGGAAATTAAAGCAGTAAGATTAAATGAGTTTAAAATAGCTTGGCTTGGGGAGGAAACCACTTAATTCACATACGAAGTAATAGTTAATAAAGAGTAGATTTATTTTACAGCTCTGCTGCTAGTCTAGTTCTGGAGAATTGTGCAGTTGGGTGGAAGGACTGCCCCAGGTGGTGGCCGTGGGGGAAACCTCTTAGCCCCGTTTCTCTTTTACTGCATGTTCCCAGTTCGGATGATGTTTCCACTGAGTTGAAAAGTACCATCAAACACCAGCCCCCTACACAGTTGGTGTCTGTTAATAAACTGTCTTCTCAGCTGCTATTTAACATTCCCGCGGTAACGCAGACACAGCCTATTTTATCTGCTGTGCTGGAGAAAACCCTGAAATTAGGTGTGCAGAAGCAGGGAGTCTGGTGCCAGTCTGGTGGTCCTCCATAGGCTCGCTCCTGAGGAAGGCGGGGGTGGGCGTCTACAGAGACACTGGTGCTGAGCTGCAGCCCAGGGCCCATCCCCGAGAAGTCCCCGGGCTGGCAGGGCTGGCAGGGCTGGCAGACCGCAGGGGAGGGACAGCGAGGCTAACTGCTTCGCCCCAGGCCTGTCGACAACCTGCTGGGACACCTGCAGAGGAGCGCACACGGGGAGCGGGGAGCGCGTGCTGCTCGGGAGTACCGGGCGGTCAGTGAGCCCAGGCCTCCGTGCGGGGCAGCGCTGAGGTTCCCAGGCCCCGCCCCGCTCCCCAGTGTGTACCCCTCGTCCCCCTCCCCCCCGCGGCCCCACACCTGCCCGGTCCCTCCGACCCCCCGCCCGGCCGCACCCCTGTCCCCACAGCTGCAAGGGCTGGGCGCTCCGCGTTTACAGCCGAGAGCTCCTGCCGCCGGCAGTCGAGTGCACCGAGTCCTCGTGGCCTCCTGGCTCTGCGGTCCCCGTCCGCTTCCGGTGCCCCCAGCCCCGTCGTGTCCCGGGGCCGCCTGCGGCCCCCTTCCAAGGTAGGGTCTCCCCCGGCCGCCGCCGCGCCGCCGCCGCCGCGCACACTAACGGCCGGAAGCGAGGGGGCGCGGCGCGGCGCGGCGCGGGGCGGGGCGGGGCGGGCCGGGGCGCGTTTCTGTGACGCACTTCCTGGCGTCCGCTCCAAAGGCGGAAAAGCGGGGAGCGGGAGCGTCGCTCGTCCGCGCCGCCAGCCGACGGGGCGGCTGCTGGCCTCCCGGGCCGGGCCTCCTCCGAGCCGCGCGCCATGGCGTCGGAGGGGCCGCGGGAGCCGGTCGGCGAGGTGAGGACGGCGCGCCGGAGCGGGGGCGGGGGCCGCGCGGGGCGTCGGGGCGGCCGCGGTTAGCGGGGGCTGGCGGCGGGCCCCGAGGGGGCGTCTCGGCTCTCGAGCGCCCGGAGCTCCCGCCGACGTCCGCCGCGGCGCTGGGCGCGCTGGGCGCGCTGGGCGCGCTGGGCCCGCGGGCCGGACCGCTAGGGGGAGCCCCGGCCGCCGCGGCGCTCGGGTCCCGGGCTTCGGCGGCGCTCGCCCTCGGTTGCTCACGGAACCGCTGGTCGTGGGCCGCCGCGTGACAGCCGAGCACTGACGCAACTTTTTAATCTGGGAAGCGTGATGGCCGCGAACTCCGGCGGTGCGTTTGGCAGTCTGGGCGGCCGCGCGGTCCCCGGAGACCCGGGGTGACAGCCGAGGGACCGTGCCGGCTGTCCTGGCTCCGTCACCGGTTGGATCGTTCGCCCTTCCCACCCCCAGCCCCTCGCTACACCCCCTTTTTTAGGAGAGAAGCATCGGAGCAGAAGTTGGCAAACGCAGTCTCTCGTTATGAGGACGGACGCTCTGGGCTTTGAGCCGCAGGCGTTACTGGGCTTGGCATTTCGGGGACTGCCGGAACCCCCGGCGTTCTTCGGCTTCTTTGTTCGCCCTTGCTTTACCTGCGAAGGTACTAGTCAAAACCATCTCTCCCTTTTTTCCTCAGGGCATCAAGTTGTCAGCAGATGTCAAGCCGTTTGTCCCCAAATTTGCAGGGCTCAGTGTGGCCTGGGCAGAGTCTTCGGAAGCACGTGTGTTCCCCGGCTGTGCAGCCACCTACTACCCGTGTGTTCAGGAGCTGCCGGTGCCTGAGTACGTATCCCTCTCATTGTCTTGTCTTCTTCCCGGATGAACCACGCTGCACCTGACGGCGTCGTGTTCCGGGTACCACCGGAGGATGCTCCTCCCCAGGGAGGGGCCCGAGCCTGGGGCACAGCCTGTGTCCTGCACCAGGCACGGAAAGGTCACCTCCTCACGCCCATGTGGTGGTTTTGGGCCAAGAACGTGTGGAGGCTGCAGTGCACTCGCTGGTAGGAAATGCAGTTTCAGGGTTCAGTTGTGCATGGGGTCTGGAACTGTATCACACATCTGGCGGAGACGAGGTGGCTGGGGTGCAGAGAGGACACGGGGCAAGGACCAGTCCAGGGAGATCAAGGGCTAACATTGTAAAATCTTGCAGCCCTGGCTGCTCCTCTGTTGGATAGTTTCCAAAGAATTGTGCACTTTTCTTTAAAAATGTCTCCTGGAGATGGAGTCTAGAAGCTTGGGTTATAAAATTTTTCTCGAGTTAAAAGGCTTGTGTTGGTTTTTCAGTTTTTCCTTCACAAGTTTCATTTTTTGGGTATTGACAAAAATGGTTTCTGTCATTAGCTGAATTTAGAAAAACGTGTGTTAAAGCTCTCGTGTCATCGTACAGAGTACATGTAGATTTTTTTTAAGGTATGCGCCACCTTCATGCTTATGTAAGAATCTTTGTCTTTACATTCCTTTGATGTGGGTCATACTTGTTTCTTTTTCATGTCTGCATGGTGTCGACTGAAAATAGATCATGCTTCCTATAAATTGTAGATTAGTATTCACAAGAGTGAAATTTAGAATGAATAAGAAAATCATAAAGTTGTTTGGTGTACGTAGGTTGTATTTTTTGAAAGTGTTGAAGTTTTGCCTGTACATGGGTTGCTAGGAGTACTCGAGTTTTCCACTTTGGTTTCATCCTCTGTTAGAGGAGGGTTGGCATGGGTCTCACTCGAATTGTTCTACCTTGGGTGGTTCGTTCACAAAGTAAAGTATAAAATGTAGTTCACTCAGTGACAGGGATTCGAAGCCATCTGCTGGGTGGGATTCCAGTTACCCAAAATAAAGGTGGAAAACATTCCTACGGCTGAACTAATGTTCTGGCAGTAGCCTGAATTGAGACGAATCAGAAGCTTCAGGATGTGCACTGCCAGATTTAAAAATTAGGTCTCTTGACCTCTTACTCTTTTATAACTTTGACTTTTTTTTTTTTTTTTTTAAATTATTTATAACCAAGGAAAAGATTGGCTGACAATATTCCTGGCCAGCAAGAAAACAAGGAGAAAAGAGGCGTGTATGCAGAGGGGCAGGATTAGGAGGGACAGGAGCCTTGGAAAGGGATGTATTATGTAATGAGGACTGAGTATCTAGTCCTTCCTGACGGAGGCCAAGAAGTCTTTGCCTGAGCCAGGCTTCCCAGAAATGGAGATCTCCTCTAGCATTTTCCATAAGGAACATAGGTCGTCTTTGCTGCCTGTCCCACTGCCAGTCCATGAGGTTGGCAGGAAGTGTGATGTTATTTTTGCGCCTGAGAAACTGGGGCTAGAAACGTGTGCTCGGTCATTGAGGTAGGCAGTGCCCGGAGCAGAGTGAGTATCTGTAGTTCTGACCTGCCCTCAGTGGATCTCCCCAGAGCTGCTGCCACCTGTGGCAAGTGTTTGCAGAACAGTTCGGCGGGTGGCAGTGTACCGTCAGCGGTGGGTGCCTCTGAGTGCAAATCCCTCAGCTGTGAGAACGAGGAGTCCTGGTCGCAGTGTGTCTCACTCAGGTCCGCTTGGTGGCTGGAGGAGCAGCTGGAGCCTGACCTGTCCTGGCCTGACGGCAGGGACTGGGGACAACACTGTGGGGCAAATGTCAAAGACAAGGGATTGAGGGAAGTGCTGGGGGGACACTGCTCAGTGCAGCCGAGGAGACTAAGGGTGTGGGGTAGAAGTAGGGAACTGCCAGTCGTGCCTTAAATGTGTGGGGACGCTCCCTCCCGGCTTCTCATTCAGCTGTGTAGGAAGAAGAGTTCTAAGGTGAGGACTGGGTTCCAGGCCCTGAAACTAGGGAATAAGGAAGGTATGGGAAAGGAAGGCTCCATGGTGACCCGTGTGGATGCTAGTGGAAGAGAGGCTGAGGATGTGCAGAGCGGTGGCATCACTCCTGAGGATGGGGGTGGGAAGAGGGGCCCTTCGGGGACTCCACGTTCAGCTTGGACTGCAGTCAGTGCTGGTTCGAGGGCAGTGACCTGTCAGTTGGAGAGCCACGCCCAGAGCTGGCAAAGGTTCAGGATGGCATGTACGTGTGTGAAGTCCTGAGCAGAGCGAGGACAGGTCTGGGTTCGGAGTCTGACCGGAGAGACTGGGAAAGTGCCAAGGAGGGCCCTCTGTGGACGAGCCATGGAAGGTGAGACAGGATTGGCAAGTCCAGGCCAGTGGAGCTTTACAAGTGATGGGACAGAAGGGCCAGACCCGCAGATGGTGTGGGGAGGAGGCCACTGGGCTCGCAGGAAGGATGTCCTGGAGACTTGGGACTGTGGGTGGCGATGGGGCAAGGAGACAGAGAGGTCGGGGGGGGGGGTGCTGTGTGGGTACAGGGTGGGGGGTTAGCTGCAGGAGAGGTGCTCCAAATATAAGGGGGGCTGGGTGAGATGTGGGGCATGAAGAAGGTATGCTCTGTGGTTGAGGAAAATCTGGGCCATTTGTGGCAACTGGAATTTTACAGAAAAGGCGCTTGAAGCCCCGGCAGGTGCTGTGCATTGTCGCTGTGATTTACTGTGTGTCTCTGTGTGGTGGTCTCTGCATGTAATTGTGTTGTCCTTGGATGGAAGGGAAAAGTACCAACTTCTCAGAGGAAGAAGGACCAGTGATGACTTGTCCAAAGTGGACAACTAGATACTGAAAACTGCCAGGACCCGAACCGAGGGCTCTGGATTTGCGGATGCACGTTTGCTGGATGACACAGCCTCAAAACTGTGGGACCTGGCCTTCCTTTCCTCCCTTACCTCAGTTTCATTGGTCTGTTCGTTTGACCGGTTTTTGGACTTGGGATTTCATCTTTTTTACTGTGTTTTGCTATCACCTGCTTTTGCTTTTTTTTCCTGCAAAGAGCAGCACTAGGCCACGTGTACTGAAAAAAGTATAGTAAGAGGTTTTTCTTGGTTTTTCTTTAGGAATACTTAATTACTGGAATTAGTGAAGGATCTTACTGGGTGTGAACTTATTATAAGGTGTTGTGGGTTCATAGATAGCAGTAGCAGACTGTCCAGTTAGGCCCTGCGTGGCTGTGAATGCAGGGAACATTCTGGTGTCTGGCCTGGTCTCAGGTCTGGCCTGCTCACCTGGGTGCGGGTGCTGTCTCCTGCAGTCCAGACCATTCCTGCCCCAGAACAGAAATACGTCTTTCATGTTGCCTTTGCTTGTACCTCCTGGCCATCCGGAAGGTGAGGTCAGCTGGGATGTCTCATCATTAGCTCTGATTTCCAGGGGACCAGCACCCTTTGGGATTCCTTTGATGCTCTGGGACGTCACAGAAACATCTGGTGCTCATTTGTGGGAACGAGAAGGGCATGTTTTGTGTCTTAGCTCCTCTGCTCAGCATTTCGCCATTGTATCATCTTTTGTCACAAGAGGATTGAAGCCTCTAGCTGAATACCAAATTTGCTTTACAAAATCAGTGTTAAATTATATTTTGGTTTAGCCTCACAGTTTGAGCAAATGGGGTGATGGCAGCATCCACAGATGGTGGCCGTCTTGTTGGCAGGTTGCAGCTCCTAGGCCACCATTTGTGCAGGGTCCCCTTTGCAGCTCTGGCCCTGCAAGACAGAAAAGCACAGGATGTGGAGGTTGAGCTGGAGATTGGATGGGGCAGTGGGGTCTCTGTAAGAGCCCCCTCTGCAGAGAGAATGGTCTGGATGGCCCTTTAGGCCAGGGTAGTGGTGGGAGGCTTTCCCAGACGTCTAACTGTGCATGAGAAGCTGCTGAGATGTCCCTGGGCTCCGCTCCTGCGCCCTGTGACCCAGTCCTGCCGTGGATGCTTCACCTTAGTAGTGAACACGGAGTACTGGCTCTGCGTCTTTCTGTGCAGGGCAAGAAGGAAACACTAGGAGCTTTCCTTGTGCTATTAGAGAGATTTCAGTGCTAGAACGAATGACCTCAAAAGTTTAAATTGCTTTGTACAGAATAGCTCTTTGGTTTGTGGTATGAAATTTTCCACTAAAATGTACCTTTCTTCAGGGCGCCTGGGTGGCTCAGCGGTTGAGCCTCTGCCTTCGCCCCAAGGCGTGATCCTGGAGTCACAGGATCGAGTCCCACATTGGGCTCCCTGCAGGGAGCCTGCTTCTCCCTCTGCCTGTGTCTCTGCCTCTCTCTGTGTGTCTCTCATGAATAAATAAATAAAATCTTAAAAAAATAAAATGTACCTTCTTTCTTTAGGCGGAAGCTCTACACTGAAGATGTGGCCTTTGGGGCTTCAACGTTTCCACCTCAGTATTTATCTTCTGAGCTCGCTCTTCATCCATGCAGTTATTCTCCTTACCCCATGGAGTGTGCACAGAGTGTCTGCCCAGTGCCTGGGTCCCAGTATGCTTACGGCCACCCCAGCGGTTACCGAGGTTTTCAGACCATGAAGCCACGAAGCGAGCAGATGTGCCCTCTCCCACAAGACACGAAAGCTCTGTTTAAGGTTAGCACACCATGGTGCTACTGGTTACATTAGCGTTTACAGTGTAAAGAGCTGCTTCATTCTCACGTGATACTTAAATATTATCTAAGTCTTTTGTGTATTTAAGAACTGATTTTTGTTTAGCCTTTTTCGAAATGGTCACTGGGGATACTTACGGATTTGCAATTTTAAGCCTTTGTGCTAGTTTTCTTAATTCATGTGACCTTTTAATTTTTCCTGCAGAAAAAAACATACGAGCAAAAGTTTGACAGCAAGAAGGCTGACGGATCTCTGTCATCGGATCTAAAATCAGTTAGAGGTTCACATCCTATGTCCATTCACGCTGACAGTAATTTGAAATCAGGTGAAAATGACAGACTCCTTTCTGATGTTCTATCGTTCTACCCCGCCTACCCCGGAAATGTCACTGTTCTTTGTTCATCTGCTTTTTTGGACTTGCTCGAGAAGAGCAGAGGCCATTGGACTCCACTGGGGTCTTCTGCCCTGGGAGGGACCTGTTCTGGGGGCGCTCTGTGATGTGCACGCACGTGTGCAGGAACCAGCCCAAAGTTAACATGGCAAGTAGCTGACACCCACAGGCCACAAAACATGTCCTTAAGCAAATCACGGCTGCATCCTTTGTATTCTTTTTGACCATGTTCATTGCTAAAATCACTTCTCTGGTATTCTGTTGGGACGCTTTTTTTTTTTTTTTTTTTTTTTTTTTTTTTTTTATTTTTAAATTTTTTATTTATTTATTTACGATAGTCATACAGAGAGAGAGAGAGAGAGAGAGGGAGGCAGAGACACAGGCAGAGGGAGAAGCAGGCTCCATGCACCAGGAGCCCGACGTGGGATTCGATCCCGGGTCTCCAGGATCGCGCCCTGGGCCAAAGGCAGGCACCAAACCGCTGCGCCACCCAGGGATCCCTGGGACGCTTTTTAATACGTGAGAGAGTTTGTGCTTTGAATCCCATCCTGAGCAATAGCAAACCTGAGGCAGTGTAGTTACTTGGGGGATGTGGCCTCTCTGGCCTTGGAAACTACTGTTTCAGGCTCTGGCTGAAAGCTAGTGATTCCACGTGGTGTCTTGCTTTCTCCTGTAAGTTATGTACTAGCGCAGTTTGATGGCTTATTTATATAAATAGTTAACACCTTTGTTATAATGTATTTTCTGGGAATGCCCAGCTTATTTACATGTATACTTATTTGGCATACAAATTTTTCTCTTTGTGTTGACTTCACTCAGAAATCATTTGGTGCATGGAAGTGTGAAAGGAAAGTCAGACAGTTTACTGTAATAACTCTGCCCTCATGATTAAATGCGGGGACTTCATGGTATTACAGCCCACAGGAGGATTCATTTGTATTTGAAGGGGAAAGATGGGGAAGAGGTTCCAAGTTTAATTCTACTCGCTTTCTTCCAAAGTTTCTCTCAAGCGTGGAAGATATATCGCTGAAAAGAAGTCAGTTGGCATCTCTGTGAATTTGCAGAACTCTACAGTGTTAAGAATAATTAGATCAGGTTCTAATAACTAGTTCAGCAGCTTGAGAATTATGCCCAAAATCTGTGGCGTGCTTTGCTTTTTCCTGCCTGGTGGCCCAGCTGGAACTTGTGGTCAGTTCTGTTTTCCACCGTTAGCCAGGTTGGCAACACTAGCAAAGGGGGGGGGGGGGGCGGCGGCATTTGGACAGTCCTGTGTTAGTGCGTCAGCAGCAACAGGCTTTCTGCCCCACTGTTGAAGCATGAGTAACAGTTTTCACACGATGCCTGACTTTTCACCCCTGCTTTTGATTCTACAGATACAGATGGTTATCATAAACGAACAGACAGGAAATCCAGAATTGTTGAAAAAAGTGGATCTGCCTCCAAACCTGAGTTTGAATTTACCAGGTTGGATTTTCCTGAGCTGCCAGGCCCAGAGAACAGCAAGCTCTCAGAGACACAGAAGCCGCCCAAGTGGGGGCCTCTACGCTCCACCTCAGCTGACCTTTCTCTCCTCAGGGAGGTGGTGAAACCCACTGTGGTGACAGCAGAGGTGAGTGTGGGACCTCCTCCTCCTGTCTCCCTTTCTTCTCCGTACGCATTTTTGCAAGTACTTCACAGTACGCTATGTCTTAGTGTGGGGGCCTGTCCAGGCACTTAGAGGACCTTTGGTTTGGACTCTTCCCAGCTGGTTGTAGCCCCTAAGACAGCTATTCTTTTAAAAGAATTACTTAATAAGCTTCCTTGTGCTTGTTAGCTGCCAGCGCCTGGGGTCGGATTCTGGCACAGGTCCCGCTGCTCAGACAGCCCTTGGTGAATGTCTCACTGTCAGCGTTGCATCTGACAAACGTTTATTGTATAGACACAGAGATTTTTAAAATCAGACTAATATTTCAAACTGCACAAGTAGCCTCTGATTTTTCTAGGTTTTTTATCCATACTTTTTTTCGTTGATGAGACCACAAACTGAGCAGAAGTCATCATTGTGTGTTTTGTTTGCCACTTAATGATTTTAAAATATGCATTGTTCCACGTTTGGTCTTGGAAGTTTATTCCATCAAGGTTTCAGGAAGAAAGGTCATCCGAGTATAGTCTCTAAGGTTGCTTCTCACAAGTTCCTGCTGAAGGAGGGTGGACAGGCAAGGAGGTGGGTACAGAGAAGGAGGGGGGCCTCCCCATCCACCTACCTCTTGAGTGGAGCTGGGATTTGGCTTCCTCAGGTGCTCTTGGGTGCCTGGACACCGACGCCCAGAGGTAGGCAGCGTGGCTTGTGGTGTGCAGGAGTTACACCATTCCCCACACGTTAGATGCTATCACACTCTGGTGCTTCCCTGTGGCCGGCTGGCTGACGTTGAGGAATCCGTTTCGTTTGGCAGCTGTGTGACCCTTCTGCTGTGTGCGTGGAGTAGCCGAGCCATTGAGGGGCTCCATGTCCATGTCCCTGGTAGTCACTGTATAGTCTAAGCCCGTGAGTAGTCCATGTACCTAGTGGCCTGTGGCGGGATGTGACCGACCTGTCTCATCATGGTCACTGGTCACACACCTGCATCTGGACACAAAATGAGGCCCATGCTGCTACGTCAGTAGGTGTACAAGACTCCCCGCTCAGGATGTGTTCACATTCTTGAATTATGTGTGCAGTTTAATTTTTCTATCTAGAAGAACTTTTTTCCTCATTAATCCTAGTAGTATCTTTAAACACAAGAAGAGGGGATCCCTGGGTGGCTCAGTGGTTTAGCGCCTGCCTTTGGCCCAGCGCGTGATCCTGGAGTCCCGGGATCGAGTTCCGCGTCGGGCCCCCGGCATGGAGCCTGCTTCTCCCTCTGCCTGTGTCTCTGCCTCTCTCTCTCTCTATGTCTATCATAAACAAATAAATAAGTCTTAAAAAAAAATAAATACAAGAAGAGTATTTAAACGAGAATAAACAGTTGACCTTCTGCAGCACGGGTTTGAATTGCACCAACTGATTTTTTTTTTTTTTTTTTTATAAAACACAGGACAGGAGCGTAAACATGTTTTTTTTTCTTTGTGATTCTCTTAACGTCTTTTTTTTTTTTTTTTTTTTAGCTTATTTTACTATAAGGATCTAGTATATGATACGTATCGTGTATGGTATGCATGTTAACTCCATGTGATCTGTCAGGGTTCCGGCCAACAGTAGGCTGTTAGTAGTTAGGTTTTTGAGGGGGTCAGAAGTTACATGTGGAGTTTTGACTCGCCAGGGGTTGGCACCCCAACTCCCAATGCTTAAGGGTCACCTGTAATTGTCATCCAAGGAAAACTGTGTTAAGTACTTAAATCTTTTTTTAGTGGTATGTAGTGGGAATTGAGGGGATGCCCCTCAAATTGAGGTTATGTGTATGTATGGGTTTGTGTTTTGAGGTTTTAAAACTTGGCATTTTTCTGTGTTACTAAGTATTTTTTGAAAGCCTGTTGCACTGAATCTTTATGTAACTGTTCTGGGACAGGTATGCCATGGTGAGCATGTATATTATATGTGTGTGTGTGTGTATATATATATATATATACACACACATATATATATAAAGATTTTATTTATTCATGAGAAACAGAGAGAGAGAGGCAGAGACACCTGCAGAGGGAGAAGCAGGCTCCCTGCGGGGAGCCCGATGTGAGACTTGATCCCAGGACCCCTGGATCATGACCTGGGCCAAAGGTAGATGTAGATGCTCAACCGCTGATCCACCCAGGCATCCCCATAGCCTGTTCTTTTAATAAATATAATTTAGGGGGCCCCTGGGTGGCATTAGCATATATTTTGGAGATTTTAAGAATCGCAAGGGAAGGTGTATTTAAAAATTAAGTGATTAGGGCAGCCCGGGTGGCTCGGTGGTTTAGTGCCGCCTTCAGCCCAGGGCATGATCCTGGAGCCCCATGATCGAGTCCCATGTCAGGCTCCCTGCCTGGAGCCTGCTTCTCCCTCTGCCTGTGTCTCTGCCTCTCTCTGTATCTCTCATGAATAAATAAATAAATAAAATCTTAAAAAAAAATAAGTGATTATTTTCAACTTGAAATGGTATGATGCTGGTTTGCCTTCTAGGGTGAAGGGGTGGTGAGAAGCACAGATGCAGTGGAGTCTATGACTGGCAGCTCTGTGGCCGATCCCTCCTCATGTACCAGAGGTAAGAGGCACTGCCAGGCCCCCACTTTCCAAGGTCATTTTTAGCTCAGTACAACAGAAGTGTTTTTGGTTTAAAGCCTTCTTTAAGACAGCTGATGGGTTGTGGACAAACTGATGTTATTGTGAGAAGCTGGAAGTAAGTACGTGAGATCCCACGTCAGTGTGCAAGGAGTGTAACGTGGGAGCAAAGAATTCTAAATGAGATGTGTCCACTTTGTCCAGTTAAGGGAGGAATTTAATGAACTCTACTGTCGCGTGTCATGCAGCCTCCGGAAAACGCTGCTGGCTGCTCAGGAGGATGAACGCAGGGCACTCGGGGATGAGCGAAGGGAGGCACAGGGAGGATGAGCACAGGGAGACACAGGGCCCGTTCCTCCTGTCATGAAAATGGTTTTGATGCTTCAGAGCCCTGAAAGGGTCTTGGGAGCCTCAGACCATGCTTATGGGTCTTCTGGCCTGGCTGTCTTGGAAGTGATATGTTCAGAGAGACCTCAGTAATTTTTCTGAGTAGCTGGTCCTAGCAGAAGACATTTTTACAAAACTCTTCCAGGTGTATTCATAAGTGTGTTTTCTTTTCTTTTTTTCTTTTTTTTTTTTTTAAGTGTGTTTTCTTTTGCATTCTCATGTGTGGCACGTGTGTGGTTCAGTAAAGCCTTCACCTAAGAGGCAGCTTGAATGACGTGTAGCTCTGGTATGAAAGCAGCCTGACTGGCCTCTGGCCTCCTCTCCTGGGGGGATGCCCCAGCTGTCCATGGGGTGCATGGGTTCTGTTCTGTCTGTGGACCTAGGCAGTAGTGCTGTCGTACTGAGACCTGAGCCTAAAGAGAGAGAGATCACCTTTTCCTGGGAAGCTGAAGTCAGTGATCCTTGACTGAGTGTCAGTGCTACATAGCAAGGTTAGTGGGGCTAGCGTGTGATCTTTGTCCTTTTAATTTTAGCTGTAGTGTGTCTACCCACCTGCACACCCAAGTTAAAAAATTGCTTTCTAGGGAAATCACACAGCCTGTAAGTTAATTCAGCAAGTGCGTTCCAAGAAGAGAGCTTAGCAAATGCTGTCATTTCCAAGAGTGTTCAGAGCACCAGTCTAAATTTAATCATGCTCTGAGTAATGACCTCACGTAATACGTGTTTAGAATTTCTAAGTATTTTTGTTTTAATGTTGAGATGGTTCAACAACTTTGGTTATCTTTGAGCAGAGTTATCTTGGACACCAATGGGTTATGTTGTTCGGCAGACATTATCTACAGAACGGTCAGCAGCCCCTAAAAACGTTACTTCCATGATAAACCTAAAGATGGTTGCTTCATCAGCAGACCCTAAAAGTGTTAGTATATCACCTCCTGAAGTTTTACCTTCGGATCTTTCCTACAAAGAGAGACATGTCCACCCAGCTAAAAAGGTAGGTGTCACGTTTGCATTATGTTGATCTTCTGTGCGACTGGATAGTCTTTATTTTTCTCAGATCCTCACAAAGTGTTTCATTCTGTGTTTTAGTTGCTCATCTGAATCAGTTGCATTTTTGTACCTTGAGAAAAATAGAACCTCGGTTCGGGAACACAGCTGGTAGCTTTTAGAGCAAGGGAGATATCTGTCGATTTTATATCTGTGGTCTTCAAACACCTGTGAACCATTTTGAAGTCTGTGAAGGAGAGACACTGGTCGAAGTTCACGCCCTGGTATATAAAGTCCTACCTTTTTTCCCCTAGCCTTTTCATCTTTTACTTACTAGTCACAATAGCAAGACAGTTGAACTCCACCTCGTGTGATCATCTGGTGTATGTTACTGACTCAGTTCATTGTAGTGTGTAAGGTAGCATCTCAGGGTCCATTTTTCCTTTTCAAGTCAAATAATTTTAAGCTGTCATTTTTATTGGTCCCTAAATTTATTTCTGTAAGAGGCTTTTTTACTGGTCTAGATTTATTTCTTGATTTTCACTGTGTATGGATACTTTTTTTCAGGTTGAAATGTGGCCATGTTTGTTAGTGCAATGATACCCTTTTTAAGTATGAGGATAGTTTCTGTCACCCAGAGTGTCATAGACCATCCCCCATAAAGGGGAGCTATGTTGGGAGTCTGCTGAGGGAGGGAAAGTGTGCTGCCAACAGTTTGGGTGAGCTCAGACCTGTGTGCCTGTCCTCACGGCTCTGTGAATGATGTGAAGGACGCTAGAGGCTCAGGTGAGACCCACTCTGAGCTCACATGGAGCTGCCAGCTGTGGCCATGTGGGTGCAGGTGTGGGGCAGGTCTCTGGCTGGGGCTGCCCCGCAGCCGCTGTCTTGCTGTCTGACCACAGTTCCTGATGCGCATTCTTAGAGTTATTATTAACAATTTTGTTTTATTTTCCCAGAACCTTTAAAAAATTTTTTTAAAGATTTTATTTGAGAGAGAGGAAGCGTACATGCACAAGCAGGGGGGAGAGGCAGGGAGAAGGAGAAGCAGACTTCCCACTGAGCAGGGAGCCCGATGTGGGGCTCGATCCCAGGACCGAGAGATCATGACAGATCATGACAACAGAAGGCAGGTGCTTAACTGACTGAGCCACCCAGGTGCCCCTAACATTGTTTTTTAGTTATAAAAAGTGTAAGAAAAGTTGATTTTAGAAAAATTCTAAGGTAAAGACAAGAAAATTTAGATTGCCTGGCATCTTAGAATCCAGAGGGTGTGCTGTCATATGTAACGGGAGTGATAGCATCATGATGGTTTCTCCCTCTGAAACTTTGTGTTGTGAGTTTTTATCACCAAAATAGCAAATGAATGTAATACCACAGAGATCTTATGAACGAGGTCATCTTCCCTTTGTTGCCCACCCTTTGGGAAAGGCTGTGGTAACAACCAGGTGTATGTCCTTCCTTGGGCTCCACAGAACATCAACAAACAGATTTCTGTTGTTTTTTAAGTTTTTTTTTCTTTGAAACAAAAATGAGACCCTTCTACACATCATCCCTTCAGAGTTGCCTTTTTCACTTAATAAGTTCTCACGGACAGATCTTGTAGGTCAACAGATAAACACTGTTTTCAGGAGCCCCTGGAGGGTGAGTTCCTGCCTCAGGTAGGGCAGGGCCCCCACCTGAAAAGGCCCTGCTTTCCTCACGCCTCCATTCTGAGAGAGGAGCGTGGTGCACTCAGAGAGGGATCAGTGCTTTGGAGGGGAGCGATGAGGAGGGACAGGCTCAAGAGATGGGACGGCTCTTGACCTGGAATGAGGGTGCGGTCCCAGCCTAGCCTGAGTGTGGGCGGATGTGCAGAGGCCCTGAGGTTACTGTGCTGCGGGAGGGTGCAAGCAGCGGGGTCACTTCAGTAGGTGTGCGACGGGCCCACACATTTGGCCCACCTGAAGTCTCCACAGGGGATTCAGATATGTGATCAGGTTTAGGGACTACCAGGCCATTATGCTAGAAATGGCACACCCGGGTTTATGAAAAGACTTAAAGGTGGTATGAGAGATGTCAGAATTATCTCTTCTTGCTCAAGTAGGTTATATCCAAATCTACCAGTTTCCAAATAATTGGATAGGACAGTTTTTTCACCAGATTTCCTTGAGAAGTACTCTACTGAATGCTGGCTCATTGGAAAACAGAGATGAGGAGCCAGACTCTGAACAAAGTTGCCATGTGGTCAGTTTTCTCTGATTCACAAAGTAAACATCCCATTCAATGTCTAAAAAGCCCATGATTTTTGCTGTGTTTTTTGTTCCATCTAGTCCAAAGCGTCACAGGGTGGCGATCCCGAACAGAATGAAGCCTCAAGAAAGCATAAGAAAAAGAAAGAAAAGTCTAAATCAAAATATGAAGTCTTGACAGTTCAGGAGCCACCAAGGATTGAAGTACATTTACGTTTATTACTCACCTTTTACGACACAGTGAATGGGTCTGTCCTAGTAGAAATTCAGGTTCATTCGGGCTTCCCAAATGAAAATCTCGAGCATTTCCTTGATAGGCTTTGCCCAGTGCTAAAGACAATAGCCATTCCCTGTTCTCTTCACTTTGGTGGCCCAGCGTGGTGGCTGAGTTGTCGTGGGCACTGGGCGGGTGGGTGCGTGAGGAGTGGAGAGGCAGGAGTCCTTGTGCAGATCGAGTGGGGCACCTGCCACGGCTCCTACTCCTTAACTATCTTGTTCCCCTGTTTCTTCTTCGCTTTGGCATGCTGGCTTTTGCAGGGTCTCCTTTTCTATCCAGAAATGGTAATATAATGTGCGTCACTCTAGAGGGAAATTAGAATGCCAGAGCTCCATTGTGGGCCGTGGCCAAGAGAATTCCACAGACTTGCAAAACCACCCTGTAAACTTTCCCTGTGGCACCGTAAGAAAGGCCCTGTCCTGTGAGGACTTGCCCTGGGTTCAGACTGAGTACCAGACTCAGCAGCCCGGCTCTGGGGGCTCAGCACTGCTGCCTGCCACCCAGGTTGGGGCCAAACCCGAGACTTGACCATGTATCTGGGCGCTCTCAGGACATCTTCTTGAGGACACTAGGGGGTGTATTTGAAGACCTATCACCCTGCCAGAGCCTTATGGTTTGGGCCAACACATAATTCATAGAGTTCTCTTCCCGTAGCCCACATACTCTGAGTCACCTCAGATGCTCACAGAAGGATGTTCTTAAATGACTTCAGTGTCATTGTTAGAGTCCTGTTGCCCTATTTTCTATTTTATTTCTATTTTCCAGCCTGGAAGCAGCACACAAGACAGAGTACTTCCGTCTCCTGAGTCTAGACAGTTTCTCTAATGAAAATTCAGTTGAAGGCTGGGTGCTTGGGACCCCCACTCTTGTGCCTGGGGTGGGGGCTCAGGCACCCACGTCCTTGGGGCCCCTGCCTGCTGCTCTCCAGGGCAGCGGGATTAGAACCGTGGTCTTTAAATCTGTTGGTAAGAGTGAAACAGTTAGGGGCTGTTGAGATCCCCTTGAGAGCACTGTGGGAGCTTGTCATAGATGCAGAAGAGGAGCAGGGAAAAGCTTGCACATGGGCACATTGATTCTCGTGATCCGCAACGAGCTAAAGGGTGTGTGGTTTACTTAGGATGCCGAGGAGTTCCCCAATCTGGCAGTTGCATCTGAAAGAAGAGACAGAGTAGCATCTCCGAAATTTCAATCCAAACAGCAGCCACAGGTAATTTTTAGATTGACCTTGTCCTTGATTTAGGCTTAACTTTTCTCGCTCAACTAAACTCTTGACAAAAACTACTTTCCAGACTTTTTTATGCACCAAGAGAGAGCTGGTTTAGTTTTGATCCCTTCCTTCGTTGGAGAATCATACCCATTGTATTGAAATAAAATTGCTGTAAGCCCAAACATTCTGTCACCTTCACAAGAAGACTTGGTAGCTGCCGCTGCTGCATCAGAAAGGATGGCAGCACGTGCTACCTGGGGATCTTAGAGGACTTCCTTTGTGAGGCAGCAGTGTCTGAACAAACTGGGGAGAGCCATCAGAGTTCACTCTAAGCGGTCAATACAAGGTGAAGAGAGGACTCCCCTAGAGCCCCAGCTCTGTGGTAGGTTCAGGGATGAACTCGTGACTTGTCACCCAGATGGAGAACTTGCACACTTGGCCCCATTCCTCAGCTCATCTCTAGCCTCTTCATTGTCATTTGGCCTTCCGAAGTGGGGTCATTATTTTCATGTTGGTGAGAAGTTCTAAACCCTTGTGCACCTTAGTTTGAATTCCCGTGGTACAGTTTGGACCTTTTGCCTGCCTGTCTGTGGAGGACCCTGCAACCTACTAGTGTGGCACTCTGTGCTCACACTTTGATGTGGGCCCTCAGCCAGGCAGCAGAGCAGGAGTCAATGTGCCAGAGCACATTCGTGCAGCGGCTTGCCTGCACAGCCTTTCACACAGCCTCAGAACCCAGGTCACAATTATTTCAGAAATAGCAGTTGCTTCAATATATCACACTTCATGCCTAAATTTAATACCTGCTTGTGTGTATTTTGGACTTGTGTAAATTCTTGGTTGTATCTCCATGATTTCGTGGCATTTGATTGGCTCCCCTAGGCAGTCAGAGGTTGAGTGGTACTGGTGAGGCAAAACACCAACAGTTAGCCTCACACACAAACTCCTGTTGCCAGAGACTTCCCATGAGTCTTGATTTGGTACCTGTAGGTGTATGCTCTTATTCACAATGTGGTGTAGCCAGGGATGGAGCTCATCTGATACAAACCCAGGGTTATGGGAGAAGGAGGAAACAACCATGCCAGTCATATTGAGAGATAATATGGGATTATCTAGGGCTTCCTTTAATTAATTTTAGAAGATTTTTACAGTCACTATGAATATGTTTCATTTTATTTTTTATATCATTATATCTTTTTGTTATAGAAAAAAACACAGTTTGTGAAATACATTATCCTAAGGAAACTTCTGATTTTTCAATTCTATAGAATAATTTTAAAAATAGTGGAAAGAAGAGCCAACTTCCGGTACAGTTGGATTTAGGGGGAATGCTAGCAGCCCTGGAAAAGAAGCAGCACTCCCAGAGCTCGAAGCCGTCCTCCAAACCTGTGGTGTTCTCAGGTAAGAGTCTGTCCATCTCAGATAAATGGCTAGAGGTCTTTCAGGTAGACTGCTCTGTGACTGTCTGATTTTTAATCAAAAGTGTGTGTATATAGTCAGAACAGCATGGTCCTGAGATGAAGAGAAAGATACTAAATGGAATAGCTTGGGAGTCCAGAAGTAAACCCACGTATCTATGGCCAGTGGATTTTTGACCAGAATGTGTTCATTAAAAGAATAAGAAACAGTTTTGAAAAATGGTGCTGGGACAACTGGATTTTTCCACATGCCAGAGAAAGCTGGGCTCCTGCCTCACACCATATGCAATAGTTAAAATGGAGTGATGACCTAAATACAAGAGCTAAGCCCATAAAACCCTAAGAAGAAAACAAAGGTGGGGCGCCTGGGTGGCTCAGTTGGTTAAGCACCCGATTCTTGGTTTCAGCTCAGGTTGTGACCTCAGGTTGGGCTCTGCACTCAGCAGGGAGTGTGCTTGAGATTCTCTCTCTCCCTCTTTCAAAAAAAAAAAAGCAAGGGTAAATTTCATGACTTACGATTAAGCAGTGAATTTTTAGCTGGGACACCAAAAGCATAGGCCACAAAAGAAAAAACCGTTAAATAGGATTTCATCAAAAACAAGAACCTTATGTGTACCAGCTGATATTGTCAAGAAAACAGAAAAGTAATTTACTTACAGAAAGTGAGAAAATGTTTGTAAATCATATGTCTGATAAGGATTTGGTGTCCAAAGATCTGTGAACTCCTACAACTCGATAATAAATACCCACTAAAAAATCGGCAAAGGACTTGGCATGGCTCTACACGGAGATGCACAGGTGGCCAGTAACACATAAAAAGATGCTCAACAGCATTAGTCATCAGACGAATGTGAGCCAGTGCTGCACTGAGATAGCTCTTTGTTCCTGCTGCTGTAGCCGTGGTGGGAAAACACGGGAAATAGCAGGTGTTGGTGAGGATTTGGAGGAAATGGAGACCCCTGGGAAATGGGGAAGCATGAGACTACTTGGGGAAGCAGTTTGGCAGCTCCTCAGAATGCTAGGTGGAGTGTTGCCATGTTGCCCAGCAATGCCACTGCCTGTGTATGCCCAGAGGAGTTGAAAATGAAGACCCAGACGCTTGCAAGGCAGTGTTCACAGCAGCATTATTCCAAGCGGCAAAAAGTGGAAACACCCCCACTTGCTTATCAGCCCAAATGGCTAAACAGCCCAGCCCGACCGCCGACTGCCACTTGGCCTTAAAAGAAAGGAAGTTCTGCCAGAGTGGATAAACATGAAAGCGTTCTGCTAATGGAGTAAGCCAGCACAAAAGGGCGCATGCTACATGAGAGATCTAGAATAGACAGTCACAGGAAGTAGATTAGAGGGTACCTGGGGTGGAGGGTATGGGACTTTTTGGTGGGGACAGACTTTCAGTTTGGGGCATGGAAAACTTCGGGGACTAGGTGGTAGTGAGGGTTACACAACACAGTGAGTGTGATTGGTGTTCCTGGGTTGTGTACTATGGAATAGTTAACATGCTAGGTGTTGATGAATTACTTACGTATGATGACTTTAGGAAATGGCAGTTAAGTGTTGCACACTCATGTGCTCACGGGCCTAAAATATTTACTCTCTGGCCCTTTAAGGAAAAGCTGGCTGACCCTGACCTAACCACCTATCAATATTTTATTTTATTTTTTGCTGCCTTTCAAAGTTGCAGACCTTGGTTGCTATCACCTCTAATAAAGGTTGCAGGCATATCACTGACTAGAGCTCATGGTTCTTTTTGTCTTCGGAGGTGAAGCATGCATTAGTGAAATGCACAGATCTTAGGTAAGCCCTTTGCAAGGTCACCCAAGCCCCCGTCAGCACCCTTGGAAGCTCCCTGCACCCCACCCAGCAGGTCCCTACGTGCCCCCAGGCAGCCACCTGCGGATTCTTTGTCTGCCAGACTTCTTTTTTCCTGCTAGAGCTTCGTAGAAATGGGATCTTAAAACATATGCTCCTTTGATTAAGGCTTTCTTCACTCATCAAGGGGGTTTTGAGATTTACTCCTGTTGTACAGAGTTCCTTTTTGGCTTTTTTTGGATGTGAAATTCAAGTAACATAAAACCCATTTTAAGGCGTACAGTTCAGTGGCGTGGAGTTCGTCCACAGTGTTGTGTGGCCTTGTTCTCTCTGGTTCCACACTTTCACCCTGGCAAAAGGAGACCCCTGCCCGCTGAGCTCCCCGTTTCCCCGGTTCCCAGCAACTCCCAGTGTGCATTTTCTCTTTGGCTTTGCCTGTTCTGATGCATTACATAAACGGAATGGTGCAGTTTGTGACCTTTTGTGTTGGTCTGTTTTCCCTTGGCAGAGCATCTTTGACGTTCATCCATGTTCTTGCATCAGCATCTGGCTAGTTTTTATGTCTGAATCCTGTTCCATCGCCACAGTTTGTTTCCCCATTCACCCACTGATGGACATTTAAATTGTCTCCACCTTTTAACTCTTGTGATTAGTACTTTTATGACTGTTCAGGTAGCAGTATTTGAGTATCTGTTTTTGATTCACTTGGGAGTGGAGCTGCTGGGCCACGTGGTAGGGATATATTTAGTTTATAAATTGCCGTACTGCTTGTGTGCTGTTTTACACTCGTCAGTAATGTGTGCAAGCTCTGGTGCTTCTGCATGCTCACCAATATGATGATCATGTTGATCTTAATTGTAGCCTTTCTAGGGGGGATCGGGGTGGAGTTGGCATATTTTTGAAGCTAAAAATTCGAAATGCTGTTTCTCGTGTGGATTGTTTTCGTACGGGTTGCTGAATGGTATGTGGTGAGCAGTTTCTAAATACCATTCTCATGGCTATAGCAGAAGGAAGTTTATGTGGCAGTTCCTTAGTGGCGTTTATTACCAGCTCAGCATACAACCTTAAAATTCTGAACGTAGCTAATTTAGCTGAAGCACAGTGGTTGAGGCAGTGGTAGACAGGGTGTCCCTCAGCCCACTGTTCCTCCCTCACGCTGCATCCCCAGGGCCACCTGCAGCTGCACAATTGGGAGTACACAGAAAGCACAGGCCCTGGACATGTCTCAGACTTTGGGCAGGTGCAGTGAAGTCACTGGGGTGGAGTTGGGCTTGGGGAAGAGGTGTTTTAACTAGCTCACAGGATTTTTTGTTTGTTTTGTACCAGTTTGTTGTCTTGTTTGTACTTTGCATTATGGAAAATAATCAGAAGTAGAGAGAGTGCAGTGAACCCTACCATTTGCCTGTTACCCAGCTCCAGCAGTTATCAACATTGTGCCACTCTTGTTGTGTCTGTGACTTCACATTTTATTTTTCTGAAGTGCCTGAAAGCAAGTGGTAGGTGTTCCATCATTTCCCTGTATGTGCCCTGTTGGCATGTCTGATGGTGGTGGTGTGCTTCACTGGACCACCCCCCCGCCGGCCTCTCACAGCATTTATGCTTGTTTCTCACTAGTGTCTGGCGTCCAGTCTGTGTTTAAATTTCCTTGGTTGTCTCGGTGGTGTTGGTAATTTTATCCATGTCAGTTTCCATGGTTGGGTATGTGGCAAGTCTGAGTGACTGTACCAGAGCTTGGGACCCCTATCCCCTGGGTGACTCTTCCCTGATGAGCGTTGCTTTCCTCAGCTCATTTGGGAAAGGCCTGCAGGGCTCTCTGATTGTGTGTTGCTCTCAGACCAGTCCAGGTGCTTAGTAGGAGCTGGTAATTTATGGGTCACCTATGGGCAGTGAGCTTTTCCTTGGCAGTTGGCTTTGGGCTTGTTCTATTTTTTTTTTTTTTTTTTTTTTTTTTGATGAGGTGGTGAGTCAGGTGTGGCCACAAGAAGGGGTGGAAGAGAGGCTCAAGAAAACAGTTTATTGTAGTCCCAGGTCCTACAGACAGGAGGCACAGCCACCTGCACAAGCACCGGGGTAGACAGCAGGCAGAGGTCAGAAGCGAGGGGAGGGTGTTAGGCCAGAGCCTTTGTTGGGGTTTCTGTGGGCAGGGAAGGGTGGACTGTTTAGGACTGGCCAGTTTGATTCCTTTCAGTGAGCTCTGAGCTAGAGGTAACTAGTGGCCTGGCCCCTGGCCCTGGGATGACTAAAGGATCCTGCCTCCAGGGTGCAGGGGCCAGATGGAGGAGGTCTGGCTTTGGGTGGGTTAGCTTGCATATCGAAGTCCCTTTGCAGCCTGGAGCCTTTGGTCTCTCTAAGAATTGGCTATCTCAGGAGGGCACTCTTTTTTAACTGGAAGCGTTTAAGATGTCAAAACATCGTAATACACAGCAAATACACAAACATACTAATGCAGGGCTTACTCCTAGGTCACAGCAGAAGTTATCTTAGCCTGTTGTTTTCCAGAGCAGAAATTCAAGTAACCTACATCACACTCAGAAATCTGGAAGATGTGCAGCCAGCCCTCCTATGGCGCAGAATGTAGTTCCCTGGGGAGGCTGCAGGGGGTGTGTGTAAGCTGTTGACTGAGCTCTCCAGATCCTTACATCACTCACAAGGCAGAGGAAACCAGCCTGAGAGGCACTGTGTGGGTCTTTTCCCACTGGGTTCAAGTTGGATCAGTTTGATGGAATTGTGTGTGAAATAGTTTAGCAAAGAATGGGAAACCCCAGTGAGATCAGGATTTTTTTTTTAAAGAAGCCACTTATATTTTGGTTTGTAAAACTCATAGAGGTGAAGGAGTAATAGAAACTTTAGGGCAGCCCCGGTGGCTCAGCAGTTTGGCGCTGCCTTTGGCCTGGGGTGTGGTCCTGGGGACCTGGGATCCAGTCCCGCATCGGGCTCCCTGCCTGGAGCCTGCTTCTCCCTTTGCCTGTGTCTCTGCCTCTCTCTCTCTTTCTCTCTCTCTCTCTCTCTCTGTCTGTCTCTCATGAGTGAATAAATAAAATCTTTAAAAAAAAAAACAAAACAACTTTACAATTGGCAAGTCAGGAACCAAGAAGGTAATTGTATAATCACGTATGACTAAAAAATACATAGTACAGATGGTCAGATCATTCTAAAATATTTTCAAAAGGCAAA